ATTTGCTTATTTAGGACTGATTTTTACAAAATTACACTTTCAGAAATGTTTGTTTTATATAAACATCCTCCACTAGAGGGCAGAGTTTCTCCAGGTACAAATACAAGAATTGTCATCTCTAGTTTGAGATGGAATCTTTAAATTGGTCAGGCAAAAGCAGAAATGCACATTCTGAACTTCTCCATTTTTTTTTGTCAGTTTCTGTATGTGTTTCTTTTTGACAGTAAATAAGGACAAAACAGCACGAGGGACACTTAGAGTATATGTTGAAACAATTTCCTAGAATGAAAACATATAAATTATGTTCCTATTTCAGCACAGTTTATTTAATTTGACATGTAAAATATAAGATGTGTTTTTGTTTTCTTCTATGTTAATTTTAAAAATTAATCAGGAAATTCCTGTGGAAGTATCTCAAGAAAAGTTTTATAATAGTTAGCCCATTTAATATTTTGAGCATTATTATTAATAATTTCATAATAACTAATAAAGCAGGATCATTTAGTGCTCAATAGTTAATTTGAGGGATTTATAAATAGTTAATTTAGTGAATTTATAAAATGCTATATTTTCAGGATTATTTTACATTGCACACACTGTGCACTGGCCAAGTTATTACCTTAGTCTAGGCCAGGGATATGTTTGCAACGGGATGCTCAGCCTCCTTCGCCAAATCCCATTCTACCCCATCACTGTTTCCATCCTAGCTTCTTTCTAAAGTTGGCCTAGTGCAGGACTTCTGCACTGGAAGAAATGACTGATTATTTATTACGTTTTAATGACAGCCTTCTCACCCTATTGCATGTCCCATGGATTTGTCTAGTAGAATTAATTTAGTATTTAAAAAGAAAGAAGATTATAGAAGTTAATTTTGGCTTTTTTCACATGGCATCAGTGACTTTCTGAAGCTAGCAGGGAGGCTGTAAATGCCTCCGGAGAGACTGAATTATCTGTTTATTTAATAAAACTATTAATAAAAAAAAAAAGCTTAGCCTGGATCTGAAAAAATGAGTACAACAGTATGCTGATGGTCAGTGTTCCTCTTCTTGGCAGAGGAGTTGAGAGAATGCCAGCTGAGGAATTCAGTCATTTTTAGTTAAAGCTGGATATTGTGATCCATTTCAGTGGGGCTTCAGTTGTATCTTTAGTTGTAGGAACTATGATATGATTTTTGCAGAGAGATGGCAGGAAACAAAGAAACTGATACTGCTAATTTTCTTGGATTGCTCAGTGGCTTTTGGTACCAATCATATTGTTTTGCTGGCTAAGCTGTCTGGATTGTGTGTGGAAGCATCAATTGATGGCTGTGCTAATTCTGCTTTAGATGACCAGCCTGATTGTGCTGTCAAGACTATAACTTTTTATGGGACATTTCCCTTCTAGTGTTAAATGAATCATCCAGTGTTGTATGAAAGGAATGTAAGATGTGATGGAGTAACTAATAGAGAGGGCAGCAAGACAGTTAAGGGAGAAAACATGGCTGGCATAGAAGAAAGAGGTTCCCAAGTCCAGAGAAGGAGGATGTGTGAGAAAGAGACTCAAAGTAACTCTGCCTTAATTACACTATGTTATGTAAAAGAATTACTTTAGTAGGCTTTCCATATTCTACTAGCAAAACAGTAAAGGACTTTCCCGAAATCCAAGCAGTTCTTGTCTCTGGAGTTTGTCAGCCTTGACAGATATACACATGTGTGTGCATATGTATACGTGTGTTTATCCATGGTATGGATGACGTGCATTCATAATCATAGCCATGAGCAATGGTTACTGTATTGCATTTGCAGCCGGGGTTATTGGATGTGAAAAATAATTTCCTTCCTATAATAACTTCTTGTATATAGGCTGGGTTGGCAATTACGTGTTGTCTTGTTTAAAGTTACAGGATTGGTTACTTTCAGTGGACTTATTGGTATAAATAGGATTACAACGTAATGCCTATCAAGAAGTTACTTATTTTTCCAGCATGTTCTAAACATTTTACCATGTAATAAATAGCTACTTGGGCTGTGATCCAGGATGTCCACTTCCCTTTATGATTAGGTGAGACAAGGCTTCTATATTTGCACGATAGCAGAAACCCCCTCATTAATATTTTAAGCTTCCTTGTGCTTAATATGAAATGCTTTAGACATGCCTGTATTTATGTATGCAAGAAAAAAAGCAAAGTGTTTTTAGCATTATTTTCTATGGCCCTTTGTAGTTTAGAATTTGTTAATAGGTGATGCAAAATTGACATATTCCGACTAAGGCTTGCTCTTCAGATATATCTGTAATTTTATTTTAAATAACCATCTAATATAGATATTAGAAAGGGGAGTGCAATACTCACATATGATGTTATTTTCACCTTAGTTATGAATGTAGGATGGTATATTTAAGCCATTGAAAGCAGCCATTCTGTTAGGTGACTTGAATGTCTTTATTTTAACTGGTCATGATATGAAAGTAACTTTAAGAACTTGTTTTTTTCTTCCTTTCCATTCTGTCAGAAATCCCAAAAGCACTAAATAGTGGAGTAAAAATACTTTCCATAAATAAGTAAAAAAATGGTAAGAACCTGATTGTGCAGTTGAATATAATTTCAAACTGAAAGTAATGTGAAAATTCTGAAGACAAGTGTAAAATACAACAAATGTCAACTGCAACAGGTATAAAATGCAGCAAGTGACAAATACCTTTTCAAACAAAAGGAAAGGAAAGTTAACTTGGTTTCTGCAATTCACATAGGAAGTCCTAATTTAACAAGTGGCAAAAACAACCACCATCAGTTATTGCTGTAAGATTGGGGTCTCAAAGGCTTAATCTTAAAAAAAGTTTTGAGTAGAAGGAGTACAGATTCCTTTTTAAAATAAGATCAGCAAAGTTAACACATTGCAGTGTCCACCATAGAGCAGATTCATCAACGATCTTGAGCAAACATATTAATATTGTTAACATTGTCTTACTCCAAAGACCTTCAACTTGGCTTTCAAAAGTACATAGAGAAATTGATCAAGATACATTATATGGTTGTGTGTATTTTTTTTAATCCAAGTGCTTTTCAGACTCAAACTGTATACAGATTAAGTATAGATCTCTGCTGGTTATCTAAAAACCCTAGGACAAAACTATTTATCTATTACCCCTTGGTTCATCCATGTTAGTTTATATTCTGCTACACGTAGTAAGATTTCTGAACTCTGTTAGTGATTTTAGACCAGTTCTTCAAACTTCACAACTTTAAGATGGTTGGGGAATTCTGGGAATTGAAGTCCACACATCATAAAGTTCCTAACTTTGAAAAACACTGTTTTAGACCATTGCTTGAAGCTGTCATTTTCCCACTTTTAAAAAGAGCTTATGCTGATGTACCAACTGTAGCTAGGTTATATTCATTCAAGTAGATCTCCTTTCTGTTTCAATTGTTGCAATATATTATACAGTGTTGTTTTTGAAAACAGTCTGGAAATTTCAGCAAATCCAATATATTGGACCTGGAAACAGAATTGATGGCAATGGAATATTATCAGCCAGTTTATGTTGCCATATTTTGTGCAGCATGCTGAAAGGGTTACTCTGCAGCCCTTCCACTAATATCAAAACTATTTTGTGTGTTGTGTCCATGCCAACAATTTGAAGAAAAACTGCATGTAGAAGCTGTATAAATGCTTAGAGTGTCTGCTTCTCTCTCTTTTTTTAAAGGAATGAGTGGAAATCCACCTCTTTGTTTCAGTAAAGCAAGAATGTGTACAAATCTGCTTAAAGACATCTTTTAACATTATAGCATTTCCCACTGTACTGTGTTCTAGCCCCACCTTCCTGTCTTGTCCTTGCCAAATATTTCACATATCCTTGAATCCTAAACATTGCCTTAGAACTTAATTGATTACAGTAGATTTATATTTCCAGAACTCAATCATCTTTCAGACTGAGACAAGAATAACTCTATTTGTTTAAAGAGAAAGATGGTGTAATGCATCTTGTGCCTTAAATCCGTGTGTCCCTGCATGCATTGGTGGTTTTTCCTTTTTTCCAGAAAGTACTTTTTCAGGCAGGGAAAAAAATTGACTTAATTACATAGCTAAAAAGAATCTGTGAAAAGAAAATATTGGCTTTCCTATGTGAAATCACGTTCAAACCTCTTAACTTCAAAGCTAAGAGCACACTGCTTCTCCATATTAGTCCATGAAAATATTTATCCTGTTTGCAAAATAGAGGGGCTGACCTTCCTGCATGGCAGAAGATCAGAAGGAATGGCAGATTGGTCTCTGTCCATTGGCAGAAGAGAACCTACCAGTGATATTTTCCTGGCTAGAAATAGCTACACTACTACCTGCTGTCCAAAGTAACCATCCCCTTTCCTGACTTCTGGAACACCATCCCCCCTGAGATCTGGCTGGCCCTGACTCTGCTGGGATTCTGGAAACCTTTAAAAACGTGTCTGTTGTCCTGGGTGTGGGGGTCAGGAGGTTAATGAGGCTTGTGAGACAAGGCACCATTGTTGTGACTATTGTCCTCAACTGCCACTATATGTGTATTTGTTGTTACTGTTTTCTTAATTTTTTAACCATGTATGCTGCCCAGAGTTGCTAAAGTTGTGAGATGGGCAGTCGTATAAACCAATTAAAATAAATAATAAATAAATCCCTCCCAGCCAGGTCCCATTTCTTTATGCTAAGAAAGACTTTAGAGCAAAGTATTGGTAAGCAAGTTTGCACATCAGAAATTAGAATGGAGAGCGGGAGGGTATTCTGTTCATCCTGCAAAGTAATCACAGGATACAAATTCTTGTTCTATATGCTGCACAGTATTCACAAGGCAGTTAATGCTGAAGAGAGGGCATGAGTTACAGTCCTTTTTTGGGGAACCCAGGTGTGTCTCCAAGGCTATGGCTATGGTTTGAGCATTGAGAGTTGTTTCTTTTGAGGTTCAACTGCAGCTCTTATCTAGTGTGCTGCATAGATTGATCTGCTGTGTTAATACTAGTCTCTATGTTTAATTCTTTCTAAAAAAAAAAACAGAAATCGCCTGCCAAGAAGCTGAGCCATGCCATTAGTAAATCTCTTGGTTGTGTACCCACTAGAGATCCTCCTCACCCTGTATATCCGGAACAGCCAGAGAAGCCCCTTGACCTTGCCCATATAGTGTGAGTATATATCTTCATTTAAATATGATTTGTTCTGTTCAGTTTGATTGCTTTCTTGTTGGTCAGGTGGTGTTCTCTGAGTCTTTTTTCCCCCTTGATATACATGGTACTTGTGTTCAGGAGCGGTCTAGAAATGAAATAAACTTTCGGCTTTGTTAGAAAAGATGTATAATTGGTGGTGATTTGAGTATAATGAAGAATGCACAGTCGGTTTAGTGATCCTTCCAACACTGATTATCAATTTGAGTCTCCTGTTTCAAATACATCAGGACTTGATTCTGTAATTTATTAGTTGCTTACATTTAGAGTTTTAATTACTGATTTTTTTTCTATAGCCATCATTTGCAGGTCTCTGTCTTCCAAATTCCAAATCTACCTCCTAGATACTAGGAGAAAGAAAGTTATGGTGTCTCCCTTGTTGGCATCTCTTTTTCCAATGGTCACTGTGTGAGCAAAACAAGAACTATGGACCTATTGCTAGGGATATTACATAGTTGAACATTATTTAATGTTCACATCTATGTAAGTGAGGGAGAACGAATACAATATTAGAATCTAAAATGACCACCAAAATTCTACATAGTCTACTGTCTTGTTCCTACAGTAGCCAACCATGTGCCAATGAGAATCCCATAAGCAAGACACAGAGGCAGTACCATTTTGCTGTTTATTCTCCCCAGCACATGGCATTGAGGGGCATTCTGCCTTGGGCCCGAGGTAATAATGTAACCATTATGACAAAATTATTGATAGTCTGATTCTACGTGAAGTTACCTTAATCCCTTTTAAAGCTGTCCGGATTGGTGACTGTTGCTATACTTTATGATAACAAATTCTGTGGTTTTAAAAAAATTCAGTTTGACAAACTTCCTTTTATCTATACTAAACCCCCTAGTTTCATAATCAGTTTAATATCTACTATAAATACTATAGGTATAGGTATACTATACCTATTTATATCCTAAGGTAACAAATCCCCAATTATGTAACCTTTCCTTTCTGGAGACTTACTCCAGAACTTTTATTATTTTGACTGTCCCTTTTTGCACTTTTCAAGTTCTATTATGTCTTTTTTTGAATCAGAACTGTATATAGTATTCAGGTAGACTATGAAAGCAATTTCTTTTTCATCACGCACTCCACTAAAGATCAAGATCTCTTCCATATCAGTCAGCACTTAGTGGTAGAATGTGGAATTTTTTGCCCCAAATTTGGACTCATGGTTCCTGCTTGATAAGCAGGTGTCAACCATGAGGATTTTGCACAACTTCATTTGTTGCGGCTTTGCTCTCAGTTAGTCATGCCTCAATTACTTCCCAGTTGGACTACTGCAAAGTATACTACATGGGGCTGCTCTTGAAGAGCATTCAGAAGCTGCAGTTGGTCTGGAATGCAGCGGCACGGGCAATTTTGGGGGCACCCTGATATGCCCATGTAATGCTCTGCTTCGTGAGCTATACTGGCTTCCAGGTGCAATTTAAGGTGCTGGTGGTCACCACTAAAGCCTTACATGGCACAAGACCAGTCCATTCGCAGGACCACATAGCCCTGATTATATCTGCCCATCCCACCAGACCCAACAGGGTGGGCATGCTCTAGATCTCTTCTCTGAAGCAGTGGCACCTAGTGGGACCCAGGAAGCATGCCTTCTCTGTTGCAGTGCCTGCCCTATGGAACAGCATTCCCCTGAGATCTGGATTGCCCCAACCCTGCTGGCCTTCTGAAAAGCCTTGAAGACTTGGCTTTTTCCTCAGCACTCTGCAGGGCCAGGTTGTTAGGAGAGTCCAATATGTATGTTTCAATTGGGTTATAATTATACAGTTATATACCCAGGCTATAGGGCTTTGCTGTAATATTGTTTTATTATTTCTTGTTTTTATATTTTGTATTGTGAGCCACCCAGAATGACCAGATTGAGATGAGACACTATATAAATTCTATAAACAAAGAAAGAAATCATACCTACTTTCCAATTGTTTGGTACAGAGGCCAGTCTTAAGGAAATGTAACTTTTTTATTTCCACAAATTCAGCATTTTCCCATCTCAGGTTTTAAAGAACACTGGATGATATCCCCATGGAAATGATTTGTTTGTTTTTTATTTATTAGTAACGTTTAGAACATCTATTGTCACTGTTTGCCTCAGCTCCTCAAATTGTATTCCTAAGGATATCAGTTCAGGCATTTGCCCTACGTTTTCTGAACAGTGAAGGCAGACACAAATAGTTTCTCACTGTCCTCCATGAATACTTGTTTAACTCTGTTGTCCTTTGAGATGTGGTGCCTTTTGTTGTACTTAGGCAAAAAAATCCTTTCACTGCAAATTAACTACTTTGATGACTCTTGGAATTGGTGGAACATTTTCTGACCTGCAATATACACTTTAATAATGGTTTTCCCATTCAACCCCCCCTCATTTTTTTTTACAAATCTCTTCAATTTGACAATGTATGAGTTTACAGCCTTCACTTAGAAAAGAGTATTTCAAGTGCTTGAAACTATATTGTTTAACATGCAAAGGAACTACTCATGACCTGGACAGGGGCAATGATGTTTGGAAGAGAAACTACGTATTATCGTAGGAAGTAAGCAGGCTTTTCTCAGGCTGAACTTGAGGAGGTGATGGCTGAAATCTCTGCTGAAGTTTCTTACTTAGATTTGCTCTCTGTAAAGGTCAGCATAAAGTGTACAGCATATCAAGCAGCATGTTTGTGAGCACTTGGATAATTATTCAATTAACAAAAGTCAGCATGGGCTCAGCACAAACAAATCATGCCAGACTAACTGTGTTTCTTTCTTTGATAGTTAGTAGTTTAATAGATCAGAGAAATAACATAGTGTATCTGGAACTACAGAGTGTCTCATGGAATTCCCTTAATAAAATGGTAAAATATGAGCTAGATAATATGACTATTAGATGGACTCATAGTTGGTTGAATAGCTGTGCCCAAAGCAGGCTCATTAATGGCTCCACTTCAGTTTGGAGAGAAATATAAAATGAGATGTCACGGGACTCTTTCCTGAGACCTATGCTGATCAACATTTTTATCAATGACCTGGATGAAGGAGTTGAGAATACAATTTAAAAGTTTGCAGATGACTCAAAGCTAGAAGGGATGGTTAACATTGCAAATGAATGAGAGAAGATTTTAAAAAAAGTTCTAGACAACCTTGAACAATAGGCTGAAATTAATAGGATGGAATTGAATATGGAGAAATGTAAAGTTCTGCATCTGGGTATCAGAAAAGTAAGCCACAAGCCTAGAATGGGAGAGACCAGGCTTGGCAGTAGTACATGCGGAAGGTATCTGGCTGTCCTTGTTGGACACATGTTAATCATGAGCCAGCAAAATAATGAAACTGTTAAAAGCAAAAGCCACCACTATTCAAAAGGGACAATGAAAAATTGGAGCAAATTCAGAGGAAAGGTACCAAGTTGGTGATGGGTGTGGAAACCAAATCTGTGGGGAAGCATTAAAGGATATGGGCATGTTAGCCTCTAGAAAAAGATGACTGAGGGGAAATATGATAGCAATCTTCAGATATCTGAAGGGCTGTTACACAGAAGAAAGAGTAAAATTATTCTCAATTGCCCCTGAAAGCAGGACCAGAACCAGTGGGTTAAAATTACAAGGAAGGAGGTTCAAACTAGACAATAGGAGGAACCTCTGACTATATGAACCATTAGCTAGTGGAACCATCTGCCACATGAGCAAAGATCTTCAAATAGGCTGGATCGTTATAGGTCAGAGATGTGCTAATAGTTCCTGCACTAAAAGTGACTCTAAGGTCACTTCCAGCTTATGATTCTATGAAAGTGACCAGTAAGTCAAATTGTACATTGGAACTGAGGTCACTTAGCAGTTATTACAGATCTCAGTAGTTGTAGAGGGCATAGGGAAAGGCCTTGAAGGACAGCAGGAAGAGACGCTACTTGAGTATAGAATATGAGTCTATTAATTTTATTTATTTATTTATTTATTTATTTATTTGATAAGGCTGCCCAATTCCATCATGATTCTGGACAGTATACAATAGTAAAATCATAACTAAAAATACAAATAAAACCACAGGCATAAAGAAAAAGACATAACCAATCATTCTGAAAATAATATAACTCACAGGACTTGCTACCCAATCTTAACCTAAGGCCTGCAGGAAGAGCCAGTTTTAAGGGCTCTTTTGAACATGGTCAGAGTTGGGGCCAGACAAATCTCAGAGGAATGTTGTTCCTAAGGGCAGGTGCTGTGACAGAAAAGGTGTGTTTCCCAGGTCCCACCAGATGATCCTGTGTAATAGGTGGGACCTGGAACATGCTGACACGTCTCAGTCATACAGGATGGGCAGAAATTATGGAAGTGAAATGTAAGGCTATAAAACCTACCAAATACAATTAGACCTTTTTATTCTCCTACTAATGTTAAATCCTTAATGGAGCTGGTGATTCTGTGCCAACAGAATCACATGGCAATAATAATCACTGCATCCCTCCCCTAAGTAATGTAATATTTAAAAATTAGAATGATGGAAGTAGAGTGCAAGTTGATGATATACCTGTTCTTGGCCAGAAAAGTTCTATAATTCTGTTGTATGAAATACAATATTCAAGTTTCAGTTGATGTGTTGCTTTTGTTCCTTGTTTCTTACATTCATTACACTCAATTAACAATGGTAATTGGGACTGGGAACTCCATCACTAAGCGACGCAGTCGTAAAGTGCAACGTCACCAGACTGCACAGACTTACATCAGCAGTTCCAACAGTTCCAGTTGTTGTCATTAGGCATATCCCGTGTGGTTGTTAGGTGTGATGTCACGTGATTGCGACTTGCTCTGGCTTCCCCATTGACTTACCTTGTCAAAAGCCAGCAGTGAAGGTCACAAATAGTGATCACATGGCTGTGGGATGCTGCAACTGTCATAATTGCAAGCCAATTGCAGAGCGTCCAAATCGTGATTACGTGACCACAGGGACACTGCAATGGCTGCAACTTCAAGGAC